TGGAACTCACTGCCATCCATTCTCTGGTAAGCATGCTTTTAAAAGCAGATTCAAGACACATCTGTTCAACTAGGCTTAGAGAAACACTGACAATATTGGGCAAATCAGCTGTGTAGCAGGGTTAGATTTTAGAATTAATTATTATTATTATACAGGATTTATATAGCGCCAATAGTTTGCTCAGCGCTTTACAATATAACAGGAGACAATACAGCAACAGTACAGTTCAATGCAAGAGGGATAGGAGGGCCCTGCTCCTTGGAGCTTACAATCTAGGAGAATTAATCAATGTTTGTGTAAGCCAGTCTTGAAGTGACATGCCAACTTTGCTCAACTATTTAAATTGAACGTAAACCTTAACTTTAACTAATATTACTGCTTTTTAATTTGTTAAATATGTCATTGAAAGCATTGTTATAGTTACTCAATAAGTAAAAAAAAAAAAGTTGATCCAGATAGGAATCTTGTAAGGTGATAACTTCCAGTGCTCTACTTCTGTGCTATTTCATACATTAGCAGTTTTCTAGCTCTTTCTGTGGACTAAAAAATATCTCTTCCTATGTTATGAACAATCCTCCATGCACACAAACAAGGTGGATGGATGAATCCTCCCCGCCAGGACCTACTGCTGTCAGAAAATACTGATCAGCAGCTGCCTTTTCCAGTTTGTCTCTTTGACAGAAGTCAACCAAACTATCAACTTCTGTCAACCAGGGATGGTCACACACTGACTGAAATTTGACCAGTCCCCGTTGAACCGGACGAATTTCAATCAAAGTATGACTATCATAAGACTGTTAAGTTTCTTTATATTACTTTCTGTTCTTGGGCTTGGATACGCTTTAGGGATGACAAGAAATCCATTCCTGGATCTAAAACAAGCCATGAACAACCTCACAGCAGAACTAAACAGAAGAGTGTTCAATAGTTTTATTTGACGTTATTTTAACTGAGACCCTGAGTGCCGTGTTTCTGTGATGAAAAAAAAAAAGAAAAGAAAATATGGAGGTTACCAACAGAATGTACTACACTTTTTGAAGATCACATAATCTCGCCCTATAACATATTCTTGTTTCTTGAGCCCCTTAGATTAAGCACAAAGGTGGTGAGGAGGGCATTCACTATTATTCCATGGAACACTTTCAAAATGTTCTTTTGTAGATGCAGTTAAAGAAGACAAAAGATAGGTTTTCATCTACTGAGTCAATTTAATGCGAAAATTGCCTGTTTGATCCTATAGAAGGCTATGCACTAAATGTGCTCACCATTTATTCTTCTTAAAAGATGGGGTAATTGGAGGATCTAACAAGCTATGCAGTGCCTTAGGGAGTACACAATTATGATGTTTTTTTAAACCATTTAATGGGCCAGCAAATGAATTCTTTGTGAATTACAAAAACACTTTGACAGCCTCACAGATCTCTTGATCGTATTTACAGAGCTCAAAGTTTTCAAAACCTTGTAGAGCTTCTGTTCATGTATAAACATGACCTGCGCTCTTCTGCACCATCACTTGTCTATAATTTCATCTACAATGAATTCTCTTAATGGACAATGAAATGAATAGCTATTATCAAGCAATGAAGTCATCCACACTGTAGTTTAGCAGGGACTAATGACATATAATGGAAGCACCGTGTTTATCGGTGATGCGCTACATTTATAAAAATTAGTGCTATAGAAAATTAAAAAGTTCTGAAGCAACCAGTGAGATAAATTCATATATTTAATGTTCATAAAATGAAAATATTAAGCTTTTAATAGTAGTAACACCAAAATCGCCACTGAACATTTTTTAAATATCCAGGTCACACATTCATACCCATTCTCCTGGGTATTCAATAAAATCTCTAGTGCAACTGTAATTTAGGTCAGTCAGATGAGGTTACCAGCAGGTATTCCAAGCATCTTAGATAACGTATTAAAACGCCCAATCAGATGTTGGCAATGATTGCTGAATTTTTTTCCAGTCAATGTTAATTAGAAGCTTATGGGTCTATATTAGCCAAAGGCTAGCAGCACAGTGTGATACTTTCACAGATGTGTCCAAAGATACTTGTAAAAACAACATAGTTCAAGTGTTGCAATGTTACCAGTCACAAATATTAGAACCTCTGTTTTTTGGGAAAAGTGACCAAAATTCTTTCTATATGTACAGCCCTTTAAACTGGAAGACTGCTTATAGCACCCTAATGCAGAGACATTGGGAGTTTTCTATGAAAAAGACTTTTCCAGTAAAAGAGGCATATTTGAAGCTAAACTTCATTATTTCAGTTATGTGCTCATGAAAAAAATGAAATTTTTTTTTTTAAATGCAACTATTTTAAAGTGGAATTAAACCTAAAAAAAGCAACAAACAACAGATTGGTAGAATTTTAATTAAAGAGAAGACAATATTGGTCTGTTCTGTCATATGCACCTCTCCCTGCAACCATATACACTGAGTCGTGCAGGCGCAGCTCAGTTTACATTTATGGCATCACTCTGTGCCATGATGATGTGACTTCAAGGTGTACACTACAAGTGAGGCCATTGCAGCCTTGGCAACCAATCAGCCGACCCAGGAAGACTGGGAGAATATGATGCCTGATAGAAATACAGTATATATATATATATATATATTTATATGTATATATATATATATATATATATAAAAAATGAATTAAAGGAACACTTTTCAATCAGAGTATAGCATCAACTCAATTAAATTCATGGGATATTGATCTGATCAATTAAGCAGCAGAGGGGGTTGTTAAGCAGTTTCAGCTGCTTTGGTGTTAATGAAATTAACAACAGGTGCACTAGTTGGGCAACAATGAGATGATCCCCAAAACAGGAATGGTTTTACAGGTGGAGGCCACTGACATTTTTTTCCCTACTCATCTCTTCTAACTGTTTTTCACTAGTTTTGCATTTTGCTAGGGTCATTGTCACTATTGGTTGCATGAGGCGATACCTGAACCCTACAGAGGTTGTACAGGCAGTCCAACTCCTCCAGGATGGCACATCAATACGTGCCATTGCCAGAAGGTTTGCTCTGTCTCCCAGCACTCAAGAGCACGGAGGAGATTCCAGGAGACAGACAGTTACTCTAGGAGAGCTGGCCAGGACCATAGAAGGTCCTTAAACCATCAGTAGGGCTGGTATCTGGTCCTTTGTGCAAGGAGGAACAGGATTAGCACTGCAAGAGCCCTACAAAATTACCTCCAGCAGGCCACTGGTGTGAATGTCTCTGACCAAACAATCAGAAAACAAACTTAATGAGGGTGGCCAGAGGGCTCGACATCCTCTAGCTGACCCTGTGCTCACTGCCCAGCACCATAGAGCTCAATTGGCATTTGCCATTGAACAACAGAATTGTCAGATCCACCACTGGTGCCCTGCGCTTTTCACAGATGAGAGCAGGTTTACCGTGAGCACATGTGACAGACGTGAAAGGGTCTGGAGAAGCCGTGGAGAACGTTATGCTGCCTGTAACATCATTAAACATGACTGTTTTGGTGGTGAGTCAGTGATGGTCTGGAGAGGCATATCCATGGAGGGACGCACAGACCTCTACAGGCTAGACAATGGCACCATGACTGCCATTAGATATGGGGATAAAATCCTTGGACCCATTGTCAGACCCTACACTGGTGCAGTGGGTACTGGGTTTCTCCTGGTGCACGACAATGCCCAGCCTCATGTGGAGAGAGTATGCAGGCAGTTCCTTGAGGATGAAAAAATTGACACCATTGAATGACCCCCACGCTTGCCTGACCTAAATGTAATAGAACACCTCTGGGATATCATGTTTCGGTCCATCCGACGCTGCCCGGTTGCACATCAGACTGTCCAGGAGCTCAGTGATGCCCCGGTCCAGATCTTGGAGGAAATACCCCAGGACACCATCTGTCGTCTCATTAGAATCATGCCCCAACGTTGTCAGACATGCATACAAGCACATGGGGCCATACAAACTACTGAGTAACATTTTGAGTTGCTGCAATGAAATTTCAGCAAAATGGACTATCCCACTGCATCATTTTTTCACTTTGCTTTTCGGGGGTGTCTTTGAATTCAGTCCTCTGTAGGTTGATAATTTTCATTTCCATCAAATGATGGGGCATCCTTAAGTTCCTAACACATTACCCAGTCCATATCAGTATAGATATCCAGCATGATATTTCTCCTCATTAAGATCTGATGAAGTTTGACCATTGAAGAATAGGCAGGTTATGCTCCCGGCACAGCCAGAAAATTGACAATGCTTGGAAAAAATTTGCTTCCTTGCATAGTGTGGTCAGTTTAAAATAGGAAAGCATAATCACCAGGTATTTCAGGCAAAGGAAGAATACAAAGAGAACATGATCCTTTTTAACACAAGTAGATGTGCAAAAATACACATATCGGGAATATGTTGCGGGAACATTCACTTTAGGTGCCTGATTTGACTGGCATCAGCTTCTTGTAAACCTCTATACAGCAGAATGAAAGAGAGAGAGACAACACTAGGCGCCAACTAAATATGCTGCACTGCCCATGAACTGCCATGTAAGGCCTCATTCACATGGGCATAATTAAGCATACATCCATTCAAAGGGCCATATTTGTCCATACGGGATGCACAGGTGTCCCATGTCTCCATGTGCAGCTAGTCCCATTCATGTCTATTGGGATGCAATGGCTGCACAGACACAGCCACTGCTACCATTTTGACATGTGGGTGCATGCTCATGTTGTCAATGAATTCAGGAGAGTGTGAGTTTGGACACCTGAACGTACCCACACCCACACGGCTGTCAACTGGGAACAGCAGTTGTGTCCATGCAACTGTTGAGTCCCACTAGACATAAATGGGACTGCTTGCACACAGATACATGGAACACCTGTGCATCCCATGTGGACAAACACGGCCCTTAGCATGGATGTACGGTTATGCAGGGGCGGACTGACCATTCGAGCACTCAGGCACTGCCCGAGGGCCTGGGGTCAGTAGTAGCATGAAAAGCCCCTGGTACCTTTTTTTATGGGCTTTTTTGAGTGTGGGCAAGGACACAGGGGCCCCATGATCCCCTACTGCCCGGGGGCCCCATGAGTTGTCAGTCCACCCCTGCGGTTATGTATGCCCAGTTGGCCTTACGTACTGAAAGGATAAAAGGTCCAAATGAGTAGAGAGCTGTTGCTTCTCCTTCACTGTCCAATCACAGGCTGAGACCAGGGAGGTGTCTGTGTTGTTAAACTGCAGTAGAGAGAAGTCAGCCACCAACCAGACTCTCCGATCTGGCAGGGCTGTGTAAATATGAGGCAATTATAGATTAAAACCCAAATCCTTATGCAGGTAAAATGGATTGTAGGATTTGGGAGCCAGCATTTCAACAGTATTTGACCACAGGCCATGTGACCTAGTGATTAGATCTAAATTTTGCTGCACTTTGTACATTTTCCTAATATAGTTTGCTACTACGGAGTTGTGAATCCTACAACTCCAGACTTAAATATAAGCCCAGGCTATGGACCAGTGCTTTAGTTTTTTAAGTGTCATGACAAGTGATTAAGAGGGAGTACACATAACATTTTAACCACTTGCCTACCGGGCACTTATACCCCCTTCCTGCCCAGGCCAATTTTCAGCTTTCAGTGCTGTCGCACTTTGAATGACAATTGCGCAGTCATGCAAGACTGTACCTATATGAAATTTTTATCCTTTTTTTGAGACAGATAGAGCCTTCTTTTGGTGGTATTTAAGCAACTCTGTGTTCTTTATTTTTTGCTAAACAAACCAAAAACTACTGAAAATTTTGAAAAAAAACCACTAACCCTGGCACTGACCTAGACATCAAACCTTGATCTAGCTTTTTTCTTTCTTTCTTTCTTTCTTTCTTTCTTTCTTTCTTTCTTTCTTTCTTTCTTTCTTTCTTTCTCAGTTTTGTTTATTTTTTATTACAATGTATATCTCCCTTCCATTCAGAGAGAAAGAAAACACAGGGGCGGGCTTTACAGTGCATGATCACTGAGATAGCCAATCAGAGGCTATCACAGCATTCAGGTGACCCGGAATCACATATGCGGCCCCACAGAAAAAAGCCCAGTTCAGTGAGGACGTGTTTATGCGTACTGTCGGCTGGAAGGAGTTAAGTAGAAATATATACTAATAGTTCAGGCAATGCTAGCTATTAGAGCTTAGGGAAAACAGAGGCTGATGCCATAACAACAAATAAGGTATCATATCTAGATAAATTAAATAAACACCCCTATTTAACTGCTACAGGTATATATATATGATTTTGCAGTTCCGGGTAGGGGACCCCACACCGCTATTCGCGGCTTCAGCTGTCAATCACTGGGTCCCAGCTGGTGATTACTCATCGGCACCCGGTGATCGCCGAGCATCTCCAATGGGGGAGAGACCTGTGTATAAACAACACAGATCTCCCCCTGTCAGCTCCTGCTCACTGCGTTGTATGGCTCTGCAGAGCACAGCCATACAAAGCAGTGGGCTTGCAGTGGAAAGCACTCACACAGCATACTGTGAAACAGCACACAGTTAACCCTTTGATCGCCCCACATGTTAACCCCTTCCTGCCCAGTGCTATTAGTACAATGTCAGTGCTTTTTATTAGCACTGATCACTGTATTGGTGTCACTGTGGATGTCAGTGACACCAAGTCAGTGCCCCCCAGTGTCAAAATGCCCCCTGCAGTCCTGCAGTCCCGCATTCCCGCTATAAGATCACCACCATTAGTAAAATAAAACATTTTCCAGTATCTATACTGCCATTTGTAAACGCTATAACTTTCATGTAAACCAATTAATTTACATGTATTGGGATTTTTTTTTAGCAAAGACATGTAGCAGAATACATTTTTGCCTAAATTTATGCCGAAATTAGATTTTTAATATTTTTTTAACTAGACGTTATATAGCAAAAAGTTGAAAATATTGTTTTTTTCTCAAAATTGTCGGTCTTTTTTTGTTTATAGCGCAAAAAATAAAACATGCAGAGGTGATCAAATAACACCAAAAGAAATTTCTATTTGTGGGAAAACAAGGATGTAAATTGTCAATTAAAGTAGCACAGCGCCATATCGCAAAAAATGGCCTGGTCTGGAAGTTGGATAAATCCTCTGGAGGGCAAGTGGTTAATAAAGGGTTCTTATTTCTAAAGTGTATGTAACAATGACCTAATTTTATTTGCTCAATTTTTTATTATTAAGAGCATTTTAATATATTTGTTCAATAAATGCAAAAACAATACATGCTGAACCTATCCAAAATTTCTGCCACACTAATCAGCCCTTCCAGTTTTATCACCTGCCTTTGTCATGGAAAGGGGAGAGAAAAATCATCAAAAGACAAACACGCAGGGCTGACACCACTCCTTGCAATTTCAGTCCAGAAATGGCATTGTTGTATACTTGCAAGACCTCTAAAAGAGTGAAATGCAGATGAGTGGAGTGTGCATGTATTGCAAATGTACTGCATATCTTTTTTTTGCCCTGACATGCACTTTAAGTGCATTAACCCATAGCAACCAAGAAGAATCCATCTTGCACTTCAGCAGAGTGAACTGTAATTGCTTGGTATGGGTTACTGCAGCACTCTTAATTGAATACAGCTGAAGGTATGTGATTGGCTGAATCTAATTTTCTGCTCCACTTTTCATAGATCAGCCACACTGTCTCCCTACTGTAGCTGTAGCAGCAAAATGTATATCTAGTTGCAGGGAAAAAAGGAAAGCTCCTGCCCAGAATTGCTCCAGTGATTTGCCACTTCTCAAGTTCCTCTTGCTAGTCTTCACTGCCTTGTCTATTGTAAATTTGTCAGCACGGTAACAAAGATTTATATGGAAAGATCAAATTCATCATAAAATAGCATATTAATCTTCTATCACTGCATATTTTAAAATTGCCTGAAATAAGGAGAAGCTAATATACTTTTTTTCTTTTTTTTTTGAGTAGATATAAAACAGGCAGGAGAAATAACCAAAGCATTTTACTTCCCTTTCTCCTGCTAATGTGCACTAGCAGGAGGCTTCACTATTGATTTAAATTGCTTCCCCTGTATTTGCTTTTAAAGTTGATTAATCCAGTCTTTTAATATATGTGCAATGGACATTTTACTTAGAAAAATTGCATGGCTCCAGCGTGTTTGTCCCTGGGGCCACTCTAAAAATGAGAAAAGGATCTCCGAGGTCGTTTCCTTCATCAAATGAAAATAAAACAGAAACATTGTTAACTGGTAAAATATGCTTCTCTAAAAAGGGCTTTGATCCTACTCTATCTGCCAAAGTGAAATCTGAAGTGCTTCAAGGCAGTGTGTGTGCAGAACGACGGTGAACCATGGAGCTCCACACAATGCACTGCCTGCGCCTTTCTGCACACTTAGAGGCTGCGTGCTGTTGAGAGGCCACAGATATTCATGCAGATAACCAAATAAACAAATGAATAAAGAAAAACTGATGAGGTTGAAGTGCTTGCATCTCTGACATGTATGTTAGTGTAAGTGATGTGTGTTTCTTAAAAACTATAGTAAACACTGAATGTGCTACAAAACATATTTGTATTGAATCATATGCAGTATTTTTTTTGCTAGGGCCTGTTCACACCATATGCTTTGGATTGCTCTGGGGAGCCTTGCCCAACACAATCCCAACATACTGTACAGACAAAGCAATTTGCCTTGAATCGAGTTCAGTTAAAGTGGTAATAAAGCTTACCTTGTTTACTTGTACCTACAGGGAAGCCTAAAATAAGGATTACCTGCGGGTACAGTGAATATCTCCTAAAAGTGCACTGTTTAGGAGGTATTTACTATAGTAGCAGCTGTTGATGTCATCGTCACATGCGCACTGTGCTTTCAATGGATGGCGTGCCGTTTATTAAAAGAGAGCCGTGTAGAGGCTGTGACTCCCATGCACATGTGTGGGAGTGACGCCATTGTGGCTCGGCCAGTCAAACAGCTGAAGCCCATGAAAACGGAAGGAAGACCGGGGTGAAGATGGAAGCCCTGTCAGTGGTACCAGTGGGCCTCCGGAGGGCTTTGTTTTATGGTACTGGTACTAGTATGTGATATATACTAGCACAATATGCTATTATTTTGCAAGGGACTTTTTTGCAAATTTTTTTACTACTGCTTTAACACTACATGCAGTAAATTACAATAAAGTTGAAAAAAAAAAAGTGTAATGCTGCATTTGTGATACACTTGACTGCTCCCTGCACTTCACTGTTAAACCCAACTAGCAGGACCATTTTTGCAATTTTTCCATTGCTTTTTTATTTTTCCATTACAGCTTTCAGAGTTTGCAAAAAGACCCCCCCCCCCCCCCCCCCCCCCCCGAACCAACCATATATTTTCTGAAAGAACATGACCAGTAGGATATAAAGAACATGCTGTTGATTTTTAAGACCCCATGATATTTGCGCAAATGTTTATCAAATCATTATTTCCGCTAAAAAATACACTAAAATCATTATTAGCAGATACAAACAGCAAATTTTACAAAATTCCTACTAAATATAAAAGCTTAACCTGTATTGAGATAATAAATAACAAATATTTGTAAATTTTAAATTGCACCTTTTGCGAAATGGTGAAAATCGAACGTATGCAAAACTGTAAATAACCACATTTCTAAATATAGAGGTTTTCATTTTTCACTTACAGCTTTCAGAGTTTATAGAAGACCCCCTAAACCATATATTTTCTGAGAGCACATGATCAATAATATAAAAAGAACATGCTGCTGATTTTTAGGGCCCCATGATATTTGCGTAAATGTTTATCAAATCATTATTTTCACTAAAAATACACTAAAATCATTATTAGCAGATACAAACAGCAAATTAAAAAAAATTCATACTAAATATAAAAGCTTAACCTGTATTGAGATAATAAATAACAAATATTTGTATAAGTGTATATTGATTGCTTTGTGTGCAATTTACGCCATTTTTTTGCTATACAGCGCTGCGCTAGTTTAACGGACAATTGCGTGGTCATGCAATACAGTACATAAATGAAATTCACATCCTTTTTTCCCCACAAATTGAGCTTTCTTTCCGTGGTATTTGATCGCCTGTGCGTTTTTTATTTTTTGCGCTATAAAAAAAAGTTTGACAATTTTGAG